CATTTCGGTTTCAAATATTTATTCTCATTTTGACAAAACATACATTATGTTCTCATCTTGTTTTAACCCTTTTCTGTCCAATAAAATATGTTTTTTTCTCAGGAGTTTCTCAATAACTTGTCTGAGATAATTTTTGCTTCTGTTAGTATTATAATTAAGTTGTTGGTTTAATTAAAAAAGACCTGCATTTTACAACAAGCACTTTGGTCATTCTTTAACAAAGGATAAACGTTAAGGCTAAAGTCTTCTAAAATTAAGAAAATTTTCTTTTGACTGCATCTTTTTAAAAAATTTGGAAAATGCAGGAAAACAACATTTAATGAATTTATAAATGAATTTTACAATTTTCTCAGAGAAAATTTTTTCCTATTCAAGTTGTTGAAACGTTTAATTCTTCACTAATGTATTCTAACTCATCGCTTTTTGATGATCTTACAGCTTACCGAAAACATTATTGACTGGAATGAGAAAAAATGTAAAAACGGTAGTATTGGCTTCAAAATTAGGCACATGATAACTGTTGGTCTAGCAGTTTCAACTAAACGTCTACAAGTTTTCTTCGACATAGGTACAAATACAAACTGCAAAACAATTTTTCAACCCAGACAAGCAAACGACTTCGAAGATTAGAACTTTGTTGTTTGAAAAATTAGAAGTTCTAGGCGTTAAGTTAGCTTCAAACAATTTTTGTTGGTGTTTAACTGTGTGTTTAACTGTTCCGTTTACAGTTCTACTGCTTTTAAAACCTTTTGAGCACCGAAACAAACACCGCCGTTTGAAGGTTTTACCAGGAATCTAATGTTTTTGCTAAAAACTCTTAATTCTGTGTATTGTGATTTATATTTATTGTAAAAAAAATAAACAGCCGAGCCAATGACAGATGAAATAAATTGAAGAAAAGCGAAAATTGAGCTATTTGTCGTCTTATAGTTTACCAAATTCCCGGTATTGAAAAAGTGTAGTGGCGCCACTAAATACACTATAGTACTGTTGCAGTACCGACTTTGATTTGAGTACATTTCGGCGGCTACTTTTGTTATTAGTCCAAATATGCTGAAATATTCAGACTTACCAGAAAGGTTGAGCACTTCATACTTGACAGTTCCTTGCATGAGGTAACTCGAGTGTTAATCTGTGTTGTACAAGCAACCAAAATTTATTTAGCACTTCTTTTGTAATCTTATACCGCCTTGAAAAAAATTTGTTTAAACAGCTGAAAGTTCACCAAGTTTCTTTTTTTTTTTTTTTTTTTTTTTTTTTTTTTT